CTCTCTCTCTCTCTCTCTCTCTCTCTCTCTCTGTGTTGAGGGAGGAGAGAGGACGGGCCGAGAGAGAGAGAGAGAGAGCACGTTTTCACGATGGGCACCGAGCACGAAAAGCATGTATCCACGATGAGCAAGAAAAGCACGGATCAACAATGAGCAGCGAGCACCAAAGAAAAGCACGGATCCCCAATGAGCACGAATCCACGAAGAGCACGAATCCACGATGAGCACGTATCCACGATGAGCACCGAGCACCAAAAGCAGGGATCGACGATGAGCGCGTGATCATGCAAAAGCACGGATCCACGCTGAGCACCGAGCATCAAAAGCACGGATCGACGATCAGCACGTGATCATGCACCAACTCACGGGTCCACGATCAGCACGTGACGAAAAGCACGGATCCACGATGAGCACCAAGCACCAAAGATGAGCAGCAAGTTCCCGTCGAGCACCAAAGGAGAGCACAGCCCAAGAGAGAGAGAGAGAGAGAGAGAGAGAGAGAGAGAGAGAGAGAGCACGACGAGTACCAAGTTCCCATCGAGCACGAAAAGCACGGATCGACGATGAGCACCACCCGTCGAGCACGAAAGGAGAGCACCAAGTTCCCGTCGAGCACGAAAAGCATGGATCGATGATGAGCACCACCCGTCGAGCACCAAAGGAGAGCACCAAGTTCCCACCGAGCGACAGTCCGAGAGAGAGAGAGAGAGAGAGAGAGAGAGAGAGAGAGAGAGAGAGAGCACAAAGAGCACAAAGAGCACAAAGTTCCCGTCGAGCACGAAAAGTCCAAGCAGCAAAGGAGAGAACACGATGAGCACCAATGGAGAGAAGACGATGAGCACCAATGCAGAGAAGATGATGAGCACGAAAAGCACGTATCCACGATGAGCACCGAGCACCAAAACCACGGATCGAAGATGAGCACGAATCCAAGCACGGCACCAAGTCCCCGTCGAGCAGCAAAGGAGAGCACAGTGTGTGTGTGTGTGTGTGTATGTGTGTGTGTGTGTGTATGTGTGTGAGAGAGAGAGAGAGAGAGCAATGAGCACCAAGGAGAGCACGTCGAGCACGAAAAGTCCGAGAACCAAAGGAGCGAACACGATGAGCACCAATGAAGACGAAGCACGGATCCACGATGAGCACCGACCACCAACACCAAAGATCCACGATGAGCAGCAAAGGAGAGCACAGTGTGTGTGTGTGTGTGTGTGAGAGAGAGAGAGAGAGCAATCAGCAACAAGGAGAGCACGTCGAGCACCAAAGGAGCGAACACTATGAGCAGCAATGAAGACGAAGCACGGATCGAAGCACGGATCGAAGCACGGATCGAAGCAAGCACGGATGAGCACCGACCACCAAACGGCGACCACCAAAGAGAGAGCACAGTGAGAGAGAGAGAGAGAGAGAGGAACCGAAAGCGCAAGCACGGAGCACGGAGCACGGAGCACGGATCCACGATGAGCACCAACCACCAAAGAGAGAGCACAGTGCGATAGAGAGAGAGAGAGAGAGAGAGAGAGAGAGAGAGACAGGCAACCGTAGAGCACCGACCGGCGAGCACACGCGCACAGACGACGCACGTTGAGAAAGGCAGACGAAGTGCCGGGCGATTGGAGAAGTAGCCGTGGGCGGCAAACACTCGCAAATCGAGAAATCGTCCAGATTCTTTTACAAAGAAAAAAAAACTAAAAACAGAAGGAAATAAGAAACAGAAATATACATGGCTACCGCGGACCCGGACATCGGGCACAGCCGGACTGTGTTCCCGGACCAGTGTCTGGACCGGTCCGGGCTGTTCAGTGATCCGGACATGTCCAGACACCCGGACAGTCCGGACCTGCGTCGGGGACCCAAAAAGTGTCCGGAAGACGGGGAGGAAAAAAAGGGTGTGGGGTGGCAGGCCGGTGGGGTGGCGGGTTGGCAGGCACTGACCTGCTTTACACTTGCAGCAG